AGTATTTATCTGGAGTCCCTAAACTCAGAAATATTTTGTAAAATATTATGTTCATAGTTTCTTTAGTACAAATTGAGTGTAACAGTTGCGATATCAAAGGGAAATAATATAAGGTAATACTTACACCATATTAAGATGGAGAGATGGCGCATAAGTCCATATATTTGCTCAATAGCGATTATATAACTTTCTTGGGGGCGCGAAAATATGGAAGCGTGGGGGACTTCGTAGAGATTTGATTTAAGACTTACCGACGAACAATTGCTGCCGTATTTTAATAAAAGGGGAAAGATTTAATCCGTTCTGAACGTTTTTTCACACGTTAATATTTTTACATATATTTCTGTCTATTGTCAAGTTTATATTTTGTCATTACTTTTTTATTTATTATATCTATACTAATATTGCAAAGAGAAAAGATTGTATTTTAACATATATTGTAATAACCCAAAAACTGAGCCGATTTAAAAAACTGTTTCATCATTAGAAAAGTAAGTTATCTGCGAGTAATATAGGCTATTTCTTTTACATTTTTTTTTAATTTGACGGGGACGAAGTCGCCAGCAACAGCTAGTTATTTATAAACATAGTACAATATACTTAATTATAATAAAAATCTATAAACTAATTGCGTGATTGTTCCTGTGGGTTTTAGGGCTAACATTTAGATCTCTAATACATTTCTATTACTCAACATTCAACCGTACATTCGTTAGATAACTTGGTGTCAAGTGTCACTGGTTAACTCTTAAAACTGAAAATGAAAAACTTACTTGAGATAAAATTATAATGTCAAATTATCACTGTAACATTGTTCATGAAAACTGTATATCGAAACACATATATTTCTATAACTTCTGTATATAAATATAATAAAACATTAATATTACCACAATATTTTTATAAGGATAAAGTAAGTGCTTCTTTCTTAACTCGAATTTACAGTGAAAATTATTTAAAACAAAAATGGAAATATAAAAAACTACATTGCAACCAGTCCAGACTAAATAACCACGCAAAACGAACGCCTGATACTCAATACTATCAAACTTTATAGAGAAAATTGTCCGTTCCAGTAACATACATGTTGTTGAGGGGAGAAAGGGGGACAGTGGAACACGAGGCGACGCAGCTGGCAGTCGTCCGAGCGGACGTGGCTATACATAGCACGCCCTAACGAAATACAAAATACCATTATTCTTCTCTAAAGACAAGGAGGCGTTCAAGCAATGTTATTTACAACCAGATTTGTTCCTTACCCCGGCGTACAGTTAAACGTTATTGTTTCCTTTTTGGATGAAAACACGTAGAAGTAAACCTGTTTACAACATTTAATTGCCCATGTCTTTCATGGAACTACTTATTCAGTAAATTATCACAAACAAATCACCTTTTTTATGTAATTATAGTTAGATATTATTTTGGAAAGAGGTACTCCAAATTTCACTAATAATATAAATGTGAAATTTAAATGGGTCAATGGAGGGATGTTTGTTAGAGTTACTACTGAATGGATGTCGATGGAATTTGCCATAGGCGTAGAGGATAATCTGGAAGAACACATGAGGTTGTAACTTTTTTTTTTAATTCCACACGGACGGAGTCGCGGGAGAAAGCTAGTATAGATATAAATGGATAATCAGCCTATATACGTTCTGGCGTATGTATCAAAACATAATATTCCGATTACAAAAAAGATATGTAAGTCATCATCCAGTTGCCCTTATCCCTTAAGGAGGGTCGGCACAGTATGTGCTGCTCTTCCATACATCTTTATCAGCCGTCATATCTGAATCAATTATATGTAAGTAACTAATTTAAAATAGTCCGTCATGTTAATGTACAATTTACTTTACATTTATACAATTCTAAAACCTACTAATGTTAAGTAAATAATAGTAAACAAACAAAAACATTTGCATCATACATACATACATTCAGCTTTATACGAGTCGCGTAACACCGAGAGCTAAAAGAGCAGTCGCTCGAGGCACCGCGCCGGATGGCAAAGGCGCCAAATGCGAATAACAATTTCAAACGAAAAAGTCAGAGCCACCTTTTGACATGCAGACTTATCTTGCACTCTCGTGACTATTCACAAATGAAATAAATAATCACCTATACTGACGTTTTAAAAGTTAAAAAAATTAATGCAATTTTAATAACAAAAATAACCATCGCGTTTAGTTTACGGAGGCATGAATCGTAGTATAGTACAATTTAATAAAAAAGTATTTTTTAAAAAATTACTACAAACAAAAAAAAAATACGACATCCCACAATTTTTCCCGACAATCTATTTTTATCGCTTCTGTTTTACGTAGTAATAAGCTACGATAAAAATTATTGAACATTAAATAACTAAAATAGAACTATAAGTATTCCAAATGGAAACCAAGCCAATCTTGTTTTGTAGTTCTACAATTTTAAGTATAACAAAGGTAGTTAAACCACAATACCATGGCCTCAACATACAATAAAAAATCATCGACCTAAGAAATAAAGAGCACTTGAGTTAAAATAGGTTAAACAATCCACTCGTTCCAACGATAGGGGAAAGTTCTTTTAATACAAAAGCGATTCCTCTTATTGTTCAAAAACAAATAAGAATTAGGCCATAAAAACTTTTGCTCGCGTATTCTATTGATATCTAGTTTATAAACTTGTACGTTTCGAACCTAACTTAATTTGTGCTATAAGAACAAACAGCCATTTTCGATTTACAAGAACAACTAACTAAATATTTCTTAGTCTCACATAGAAACGAGAAAAAAAATGCATTTGAACTTTAACTGTTATAACCTCTGTGGCACAAATGGGCCAGCACATAAAGGCACGCGTAAAGTCGAATAATTCATCTAGTCTTCATTCGCTTTCCACACTTTTCTTATAAGGAAGTGAGTTTGACTTTTTTTGTGCAATTCCGTCGACTAAAGGTAGACCGCATCACTTTTGCATCCGCGTCCACTGTTGCAGCGGTCGCTTCGTTATTAATGTTGCAATTGTTTTAAAAATATTGTTCCTTATAAACTTTCAGCTTGCAGATCTTTATCCATTTTATGTATAAAAATGTAATACAAATTGATATACACTATATCCCAAGTTAATATGAATGTTCTGTAATAGGGATACATTCAAATGGATGGTAAGGGTTCGTTTGCCATTAGAAGGGACTTATTAATTCCCCTTTCGACAGGCCGACCGAGGAGGCCATAAATTCACCTTAACCAAAGGGATGACCAATTTCAGAACATTTACGAGCCACAAATTACACGACCGCTGAAATATACTGGACTACAGGCGCTGAATGAAGGCCAAGTTAAAGAAAAAGTTCAAATTTTAATTTTGTTCTTTAATATGACATATTAAAATTTTCTTGTATTTTTATACATATCTTGTAAAGATTATTATTTAAAAAAATAGAATATTCATAGTTTAAATTAATTTAATAATAAACCAATCATTTACTACACTTTTAATAGTAACAAACTATTTAATATTTTTATCTCCGCTTAACTTTTCCTGAAAATATTACAAGCACACAGATATTTTTAAAATAGAGTACTTATTTTGTTAGACGAAGTTTTGTGTGGTAACAAAAATATGAAGTACATATATTTATCTATTTTACTGCACGATATAAAAAGTAGGAAGAAACATTCAGTAGGTTTATGGTTTTAATGGTACTTTTATTTGTTCACGTCGATATATCAAATCCAGTTTGGTAACGTCGTGTGAGCTAACTGTTTTATCACTTTATTGCATGAGATCGCATAAACTTGCCAAGGCAACGGTAATAAAATGTTACTATAGTCATATTTTCGCCTAGAACCGCTCGTTGCTATGATTAAATGGTAGGAAAAATGTATTATGAAGATATTTTATTTTAAAAACCCTTTTTGTACCTTCGTATATCCTATCCTAAAGAATAAAAATATTATATTTCATACCTTTCATATCTCAAAATCAGACTGGTTCGTATACTAACTTGTCTGAGCATCTTTTTTATTCATATCTAAACAGGACTCTATTGCAAACTACCCACAGTCAGGTAGCTGAGCTGCAATTTTTAATTTATTGTAGACGTTGAAATGTTGCGATTGTCACTTGTCATTCAATATGAAATGCTTGGAAAGTTCGTTTATTTAAAAAAATAATGGTTAATAAATTGTTATATTATTTAAATAATAGTAGGTATGTATCAAATGCTATGTTTTTAATTAGAGAAATCTTTCAACATAAAAGTAAAAGTTTCGTACAGAGAATTGGAAAAACACTACACCTATAAATAAATACATTACGCCCTCACAGACCATTTCGGTTTTATATTTATCCTCACAGCACATAAAAGTTGTCTATAAAATATTTATTTTCCAAAAGATTACATTTTCAATTCACAGGAGGATTTTATATGTACTACTCCTAATTGATAACGTGCAGGTGGTACCGTGTTAGAACTTCTACTAGATAAAATTAAATATTCATGTTCTTTATTCGTACTTTATTTGAATTGTGCATCCCACTCTAGTTTGTATGAATTACGAATGTAGGTGAGAGAGGGAAAGACAGAGTCAATTTCCAAGTTGCAAATGAGTCTGCGAGCCGGACCCGCAATATCTCTGTCATGGCTAGCCGCACGTGAAAATTAGATTTCATTAGCTTTGCTGCATAAAACCGGCCCGTGTTCACCTACGCTTCATGTACTTTCGGATGTAATAATAGTGAATTCATTTTTGTATTTAATTAAAATACTAGTTATATATTGTATATTGTCAATTTAGTTAGAAAAGTGTCTAGTTTCTTTTGTAATAAAGCAAAAGTCCACGAGACGACTATATTTCTTTAACTTTAAATTCCAGTACCTAAACTTTTGTATTCTCGATATTTCAAGTCAGAATATTATTATATTAAAAATACTACAATTTATTAAGACTTGCTTAGACGTTATTTTCGGCTTCAAAAATACAGTAACGTGCTAAAAACGTATGTAAGGATCTTACCTTTAACGAAGACTCATCGTGACGCGTATCTCTCAAAAGGTCGTAGAGGATACAAAGTGGTACAACCATTATCCCCGGCTCCTTGCAAAGTGTGGCAGCAGTCGCAAACAAAAGTGTTCCCGCCAACGTGAACCACTGCATAAGTTCGTACGAATACGCACTCACGTCACTGTTACACTGACACTTTTTTAACTTCAGAGTACCCGAATCGACCTCGCACGTTTTTAGCACTGGTGTCCCAATTTTACTAGCTTTCAGAAGCTTCCGAAAATTCGTCGCTATTTGCTCGAAAAATCCATGGCAACTGAATCTTAAAATTTGTACATTAATTGACAGTTGTCGGTGTGTTATATCTTTTGTGACATGCCGGCATGGCCTCCTTTGGTGCTCGTTTCGGAGTCTCGAATGTTCACAATAAAGTAAAAAACTTAATAGGAAAAAGTTGCACGCCGCTAAATCCGCCCGCCCAACTACGCCAGCTACGGCTTCGGTGTGTATCGGATGAGCGGCGAAACTTAGGCCGGCCACTGCGCTACCTACTCGCGTGCAGTACGCGGGTAGCAGGCGGCGTGCCGTCGTCACCACTAGCGCTGTCGCCACCGAGTGGAACAATATATTGAGAAAGTGATAACTCCATGGCTTGAATCCACTCAAGGCATAATTCAGCCGGTAAGAGGCCACACACAAAGGGCGGTACGAGCCGTGTGAGCCTGGGTCTGTGAGCGGTGTTCCCCAGAAATCGTTTTCAAATAAAGCCTTTATTGGAGTATGCCCGATGACGTCCGGGTTGGAGAGGATCGCCCGTCTGTGAAATAAAATTGCAGCTTTAGATCCATTTTATTCGAGCAGAATATACAAATTCAATGTATCTTTCCGCAGAAAACATGGGTTTAACATGCATGTTACAGTAAATGAACGTTCTCGTTCGTATATTCTATTTCAAATATGGGACCTCTTTTTGTGTTAACGAATTATAAGTACAAGTACACATCTAAGTTTATTCAAGAACAAAGAATTGAAAAAAATAATGTATATTAAAACATAGTCACACAGTTATCCTATGTTTTTATTACATCGCCCACACGTTCTTTAGAAGTCTTGCTTGAAATTTATATTATCTATGTTCCAAGGCACAGACTAATTTATTAGAAACAATAAAAACTTTGGTAGTTAAACAAATCCACCGCCTATTATGATAATTTATACTAAATTAATGTTTACATTTAATACTCTTTATACAGGGAGAAACGTCTAGAAAATATTATTTCATACTGAAGTTAAGTGCTTACATATTCTCTCGACATATTGTAATTTCTTCATCGTAAGAAAATTAATATTGTAGAAGCGAGTTCCTTGGAAAATTCTAAGTGAAAGACGGTTACAAATAATGTCACAAGAATATATAGGAACAAGAAAGTGTATGCCGTCGCAAAAAAAAAGGAGAGAGTTATAAGACTATTATCATCGTGTCCAAATTCTATAATTCTAGAAATTCATATTGAAGAAAATGCCTCTTTATCACATTTTAAAAGTGATAGTAATCTTCTTGATTCCAGACTCCGTCCGCACGAAATTAAAAAAAAAACTTACTAATGCCTACGAGTTGTTCCAGACGATGTTCAATATCTGTGCCAAATTTCATCGAGATCCGTTTAACAGTTTGGGCTTCAAACTCCAACAAACATCCATCCAAACATTCTCATTTATAATATTAGTAAAGTAATAAGATTTACTACACAACAATGGTACAATTCCAAACGTAGTCACGTAATCACTAGGCTGTAGTAATTAAGCCATGTCTTTTCAGTAAAATATGATATAATATCGCATAGCAGTGACAAGCGGTATGAAAATCCGCTGCATTCTGTTGGAAAGTATTTAAGCAGTGAGTACGCCTGCGGCCTCACGTCCTCCTATATTTTCCCGTAGCGTTGATTAAAAAACTTTGCCTTCAATGTTTTTGTTTACGCCAACATTTTGTTATTTCAATTTTTAAGCAAATAAACACTTAACTGCAGGTTATTGTAATCATTAAATAATTATGTAACGTTTAAATTTAATCTATATTCTTTTAACACGGAAGATAAGATTCCAAAAAAACATAAGTATTTTATTCATGTAAGAATCCAATTGGAATTCAAAAGTGGAGATCTAAAGATATTTGACTATAAAGTCATAAATTACTTAAGAGATGGAAAATATCAAAAAGTCAGCCTCCGATATATTTAATCAAATGAAATGTTCCTTGTTAACGTTAATAATATAAAAAATAATCTCAATAAAAGAACTAAACCAAAAGTCAGGGTAAAACCTTAAACAATTTGAGAATTTTCCAGCAATTGCCTTAAGCTATCGTGAAGCCCGCGTTTAATGCCTACCTCATCTCTTTATCTATTGATCCCTCATACATTTTATCCCCTTCATCTTAGATTTGGAGTGGAGAGCCAGTGAAAAAGGCGATTGAATAATATATTTTTATGGAACCAAAACCGTGCTTACCATGCGAAGAAGGAAAAATCATCCGAACAATTCGGCCATTGTGTTGCAAATTGTAAGAGCTTTTTTCTTTACTTATAAACATAAAGTTCTCGCCGAATGAATTTCCATTTTAGAATATTTTTAGCTTCTTACGAATTTTAAAATATTTTCATTATAACGCAATAATGATTTCATGAAATAAAATTGACTAGCTTCCGCACTTGAAGCCGTCTGCTTGCAATTATAAAAGAAAACAAAAGCAAGTAGCTTATGTGTTATTATAGGTTATGCTCTACATCTATGCCAAACTTTATCAAGATCAGTTCAGTCGTTTAGGTGGCAAACTCTAACAGACATCCATCCATCTAAACAATCGCAATTATAATATTAGTCGGATTACTTTATCGCGTATCTGCCTCTTGTATGTTTAACTGTCAATCTCAGAACTATATAATTATTACGTTATCAGTATCTTAGTGTACATTTTAATATTAAACTAGCTGTTCCCGTGCGACTTCATCCGCATGAAATTATGAAAATGTAATTTTATTATTTACATACGTCAAATTCTTAATTGCTAATGTCAAAATACCAATTGCCTTACTATGGCAATCATGCTTCTTGATGTTGGCAGCTCGTATCGTATGGTCTCTTTCCCACATTAGGGTTTTTATCCTTAAAATAATAACCCCCTATGTTTAATGGCGTGTAAATATATAGCCTAAAGCGTGACGTAAGTGTTGGGCTTTTCATTACAAAAAGATTTATTCAAAAATATGCTATAATTGTTGACATCTTAGGCAACAAAGAAGTGTGTGTTTACGCTTTATTATAATAGTATAGATATACATTGGAATTTTATTCTATACTATTCATCTATATATACACTTGTAACATCTATATAATTACACTTTATGTGACTTTTGATTTAGTATAATTTCATGATGTCTACAGATTTAATATCGTTAAATATTTTTGAACATCAATAATTCGTTATTCAACATCACTAATGAAGACTCAGAACTCACTGATGAACAGAATTCAGCAGTAACAATAATATAAAGCTTTATAAAACGTTTTTCCTTAGCACTAAACTATTATCATTGTAAAGTAAAGTAGAAGTTAGATTGAGATAAAGTTGGCACTAGTATAACACTCTTCGCAATGAAAGTTGGGGCCAGCTGTGGCGTGGAGTCGTCACGTAAGCCCTCAATTACGAAACACTGAAGTGGTTTGCAGCGCTACGGAAAGTTCGTCCATTCTTTCATCATTACCGTCCGTAATATGTTTAACAATCGAAAAGAAATAGAGCTTTCTTTTTCTCCATTTGATACAATCTATCATCTAAAAGTCAAAGAGCATTTCAGTTAATAAAACTCATATTTGATGCCATTCTATTATGTATGTACATTTTGATCAGAGACATTTATAAATTGACAAAAAGAGAAGAAAGACACACGAAACAGCTAGTCATTTTCATTTGATTTTTACATTACTTTTAAATCTTTATAAGTGTATTTTGATCAATTTTAATCCTTAGTGATAGATCGTACATTTTTGTTATTAATTTCTTGCGTCTATTCAAAGCTTCGAGAACGTTCCTAATATTGGTTTAATACTTCACCATTGTAGTATAAAGTGCCTTTATCCATTTCACTACGTTCTCGTCTTAAGTGGCGTTTAGCTGTAAGTATAAGAAAGTAGTTGAAAGATTTTTACTGTAACATTCTCAAAGGTATAACAGGCTACACTATGTTATTTATAAAAAAAATACAAAGTGAATGAATTAAATTCAATCATTTTCGGTACAAAAATATCTATACTAATATTATAAGGAAGAAGCAATTAATAGTTTATTTATTTGCATTAAATAGTCTTCGGGAATTCTGAAGAAATTTAAAAAAATATTTCGCTGTTGGGAAGCTACACTTTCTCCAGGTAAATAGGTTATGTTTATTGCCAGATTTTTTTTAAATACTGCGCGGATGTAGTCGTTAGCAAAAACTAGTATCTTACAAACATAATAAGCTAATAGCTTAATATGTTACAATTTACCATATCTTAGAACATTAACGCTATGATTTCTAAAAAGGGACAATAATTAGTGTATTATCGATTCGTTCGAAATGTATCATTTGACCCACTTAACTATTTTTACTATATTAAAAAGCTACGATTGAAAATAAACAGTCGAAGTATTGAATAAATTGCACACTTTTGTCACAACCAATGCTACGCCGTTGCTACGATTTTGCTACGGATTCCGTTTGTAGAGGGAAACTTTCAATAACCACAGCATATCGTATTAAGTAAACTAATATTAAGCTCTTCACAACTCAAAACGGCTCGACTCAGTGGTTTTGGACTTAAAAGCCCATGTTGTATTTAAGTTAGATCGATAGTTGTACCGATCAAATTTCAAACAAGATATCGGATAATTTGGCCTAGATAAAGTGTAGTGGATAGTATAATATTGAGTAGAAATGAGGCAAGTATTTATATGAGTTTGAAAATTACTATAAAATACACACAACATCCTTGAAATTTAAAGTTTGGCATCTGAATCTGTTCAGCTGTTGGTCTACGCATATTTTCTAAGGAATTAAACATCAAGATACCAAAGACTGCAAGATTACGTCTTTATTAGTCAAGAATGCTTTATTGAGTGATGCTGAGAAGATTTTGTTTAAGTACTTAACCGTTAACCAAAGCAACTCTACCTAAAGTTAAATTGTTACTCTTACTCGTTAGTTAAGTAACTCTTGCACCCACAAGAAATGCGGAGAAGGAATAAGGAAGAAAATAGAAAGCTTCTTCGTTTTCAACTTCAAGAGATGTTACCAAGTTCTGTAGGCACCTTTTTTTATAATATAAGGTGGCAAACAAGCAAGCGGCCACGTGAATCCACCGAAATGGAAAGCGACCGCTGTCCATAATCTGCAATTGCAGATGCGTTACCTATCCTTCATTGACGGAGGAGAAGACGCACATAAAGATGATATTTCTCCTTCCTATGCGTCTCCTCCACTGTTAAATCCACTTTTTCTTCCATCCATTCCTCTTAAGAAAAGGGTGGAAAGGGAAAGGGACTAAAATTAGGCCTCCGGCACCATACTCATCAGACGAAATGAAGAATTGCTTCCACTTCACGTCTGTTTTCTATGTGGTCGTGGTACTCCACGACGATGTTAAAGCGGGCTCTACCACTGTTACTTAACTATGTTCTGTATATGTAGTTTTAAACAGCATAAACTATTTTTTTATTACCTGTCATCGTAAACAAATCCAGCGTCAAGCGTGTTGTAGTACAAGAGGAAGGCCAACAGTGCGCTGGCCGCCGTCACCCACTGCTCCATTGTGTTGGCGCCGGTGCGGGCATCAGCGTTGCTTTACTCCCACCTCTGCAATAACATCAACATTGTAACACCATAACTATAATTGCTAAGTTTTAATGCAATATTCCAATAAAACATACGTCAAAGCTTCTCATAAAGTCGCATGTTATAGAGAAGATATGTGCTTATGGTTTTTTTTTTTCATTTGTTTGATTTTAACAAAATACGTTTTCGTACATTCATGTTTGGATACTTGGTGATATTAAACTTATATTGGTACTACTTTTGAAAGTAGATAGAAGCTTGTAGAAAAATTTAAATATTATTGTAATGCGTAAATCCGAGATATAATCCGATATATACTTATTTATGTTTTAGGTAAATTAAGTATATCGCATTAGCTTCACTACCGGTCAATAGATACAAACGTACCGGCTGTGTACCTTCCGGCTACAGCTTACAGTTGTACCGGAAGAAACTCGGGGAGGCCGGCCAATAGCCAGTGAAAACCTGTTTTATTTCAAACTGTTTTAAAAGTTAAAGTGAGCTTATGATAATAAATGTATATTTTCTATTACTTATTTATCGTATCATTATAAAGCGATCTGTATTTTTAGTGCAGTGTAGCTAAACGTTACAGAACGTTAAAGAAAAATTAAACCAATGCTTATCAGAATAAAGGTGCAATTGGTTTGGATGCTACATAAAAATGATTCGTCGTTTCTTGAATACTTTAATATCTCAAATAGCTAGCAGTTCTAGAGTAGTCTTCAATTGCTCTTCAAAATATATCTCTAGTGGATATTTTAAAATTAGGCGATTAAATGGTTACTGCATTATAAAGTAGATAAAAGATGTCTATCTTTACTTAACTTTACTAGAAACATCTTATAGCTTCAAATTAATCAGAACGGTTTCATGAAACTTCTATTCGTCCAATAAATTGTGATTACTTTAATTTCTAACAATTTAGAACCCGAATTAATTACTCTAAAACAACCGCAATTAATAGAAGAGCCAATACATAGGTAAACAGGTGTACAAACTGATATATATTCTAATTAGAGCGGTCTATCATTATGCAAATTCAAACGGTTAATAACTATAATGAAAGAGGACAAAATGTAATATATGCCTAATAGTAAACTTACATTTACACAAGTTTGAAAGTAATTAAAACAAGTAGTACAATGTTTTATAAAACAAATACAAAACTACTAATTAAAATTTAATTGTATATGAATACTAGCTGTTCCCATGCGGCTTCATCCGCATCGAATTATAAAATATTTTATTGTTTACATTTCTCAAATTGTCAATTGCAATTTAAATACCCGTAAGTTTATTAGCGTGAAAATATATAGCCTAAAGCGTTTCGTAAGTACAGGGCTTTTTTATTATAGAAACAATTATTAAAAAAATATGCCATGATTACTGACATCCTACGCCACAAAGTAGTGTGTGTACGCTTTATTATATTAGTAGTAGTATAGATTAACAAAGCGACTTAAACTATAAGACTGAATTTTAAAAATACTTCTTTGGTGAATGAAAAATAATCAAAGTAAAGGTATACATTCCTTTCATACGTTGCGGCGGAATGAGCCAATCGTTCAGAACAAATAAAACGGAGCTCGTGAAGCGAAAATAGACAAAGAATCAGATACAGGTAAATAATCGTGCATGCTATGAGAGGGAAGCATTTCCACTATTATCTCCAAGCTTGACTTCGTAAACAGTATTCGAACAATAACAGCTATGTTTTCCTTTCTGTGAGCGTATCTAATTATTTTCTTATTGGAATACTACCAGAATTAAAAAAAAGAATGATCTTTTTTTTTAATTGTAAAAGCATGAGCAAATTGAAAGCATGAGCTTTCACGTGTTATGTAATTTTTACAAAGAAAAAATCATCTTAAATTTGAAACTCATATACATCTTACGTAAATTATTAAAAAATAATATTTTCCTATAAAATGTTGCGTGTTCAGTATATTAGACTAAGTTTAATTACAATATTACGTAAACCAAAATTATGTAATTTACAAAAGGAATGAAACCATAATCTATGACATAAAAATTACAAGTACTTTTTCAAATATCACGAATTTTTCACAGAAGATTAACACGCATTTCTGAGGTAATTGCCATTACTGAGGCTATAAATTTCTTTTCGTGGCTCGTTACATTCGCGAGAGCGCAGAATTTATTGAAAATTAGCTCAAGAACCTCTATCGGTGAAGTATAAATGGAAGAAGACAATAACGGAAAGAGTACTCTTTCATATATTTCTGGGATTCAAAGTTAAAAAGATGTCTTAAATACAGTAAATGTAATTAATTTTAAGTAAAAAAATGTTTCTTATTATTTATTCGACTGTCCGTTTGTAACTGAAAGATAAAAATGATACCCACCAAGATGTGGAGGTTAACGCCAATTTTTACGGGTTATAAAACTTTTTTATAGCAGTACTTTTCATTCAGTTGGAATTACTTGCAAATAGTCGTATATTCCTATTTTTTTGCGGGTGTTCTGAAAGCGATACATTGACTCCGCGTTAGAATTTCCTCCAGATCTAATCACATTTTATATCAGGTTAAAGTTTCACGATGAACGGTTCATGTCGATCTCAATTTCAACTTCATTGAACTATAGTTATATTATACTAGCTTTTACCCGCGACTCCGTCCACGTGGAATATAAAAAAGTTAGTATCCTATGTGTTCTTCCAGACTATCCTCTACATCTATGCCAAATTACATCGAGATCCGTTCAAACGTTTAGTATTGTTCATCTAAATTTTGATTTTATGATATTGATAAGATATAAGATTTTAGATATTTTTTGAACCAAACATATAATCTCAAAATTCTTCTTTTCAACGTTATATTCTTTGTTTACAGCGAATTCAGTGAATCGAGTTAGACATTTAGGTATTTTTTTTTGTTTTGCCTGAATTTTAATAAAAGACCATTGTTGAAACACATGTACAAAAAGTTATTATTACTCTTCTTCATAAAAGAGGTAACAAACCTAGTTTTCGGTAAAAAATCATTTCAACAATAACGCTTGTTACAAACGTACAAATTAGCAGCAAAAAGGTTTTTCCTGTCGCTTTTATTATGGAATTATTTAGCAAATAACTTGTTCGTAACATTTATGGTTTCTTGGAATCCTGTACTAATGTATTCAATTCTAAAGACCTAGCAAGTTTAAGTATTTACTTGAGTGCAACCGCAAGTCGGACAAGAATGTAATAAATCCTGTCCGTCGTAGATTTCGCTCCGTGTTCAATGTTGTGATACATTACTCTAGTCTAGATAGAGTGAAGATTGCTTCGATCTATGGAATTGGAATTTATATTATTTTATTACTAAAATAAACACTTTTTACAAATAGTTTTAAATTTTTGATTTAATATAATTATTCTGTAGTTTAAAAATGTTTTAGAATCGTCGTATAAAAATATTGATTTTCTAATAAGAAAATGAAAAGGATTTGCCTTGTCTGTGATTTTATATGATTTGTTATTAATATAAATTTATTCCCGCTAATATAAACATGAAAATAAAAATAAGGCGTTAGAATTATATAAAAAAAATTATATTTAATAACTACATCGGTTTTGTAAACTGTACGATTTTTTTTAATCCCTAGACTCGCGATAAGACTTGCGTATCGAGCATAAAACTTGATTGTAATAAAAATATAGGCAATATCGTGATTAGTATGCTATCTACCCACACGCGCCACGTGCCGATCGTTAAATAAAATGTTCAATATCATGTGAGCCGTAAAAAGTCTATGAGATGGTAGATAGGGTGTCAACTGTGCTCGAAAATTTCCCGAGGGTGCAAATACGGAAAATAAGTAATTTATAACTCTTCGATAATATTACTTTAGTATAACAAATGCTCTTACAATTTACCAACGTATTGATTCTGTGTACAATATATAAATAGCTAAATCTAAAATATTAAAAAAAATGTTTAATTAATGCCTAATTAAATTAGGGCTGTCAAAGCTGTGTCATTGTCTTTATATTAAAATAAGTTATATGCATGAAGCATCAATAACCTACAAATTAAAAAAATTTTGCTACTACGTTAACAATTTATACTTCTTACGAGCTTTGAAAAAATCAGACGTTAAATAGTTATTGTTTTATTTGTAATGCTTAAACTATAATGCGATCTTCTTTATTATTTGTCATATAAATTAGATGGCAATTTATAAAATAATAAATATAATAAATTGCGAATGTTTTTCGAGAAAGCTTTCAACAAAAAGCACGCAAATAACGGTAGCCTTGAAAATAAAGGCTAAATAATTAAATCTTGTTGCCATGTTCATTCTTAAGTTTTTACGAAACACGACATTTTAAAGTAAACGATAAGATCTTTTAATTTAACAAACATATACTTTTAATTTTTTTTTAATCCGTACAACGGTTTTATATTTATTTTGAAATGTCAAAAATTATCTCAAAATGGTAGTTCAGATAGTTTAAAAATTACAGTAAACGATTTCTCCTCAGGGACTTCTAAGGAAAAGTGAAAGCAGAAAATTTTATTTCAGGATTTGAAAATAAGTAACTTCCACTTCCTCAATAAACAACAAAATTAAAACTCTTTTGTACATATGTTTTAGAAGATGCATTAAATATTACCTACCTCGAGCTTTATACTCCGTACATCCGCCACTTTCGTTTAATTTCTTTTTCGTTTTACACATAACGAACATTTGATGACAATCACACGAATGCCATCAATTAAAACTCTTTAAATGTTATAATTAAATCCATTTTTAATAGTAAATTAAAGTTCGAAGTCACAATTTTTAATGCAAAACGCGTTCATTGATGACAATATTTTTATCAGTTTCGAGTTCACCACAAAGGACAGCATGACCGTGGTGAGGCAGCAGGGAACATACTCGGCTAGTGTTTAGCCCTGCTGCTCACCAACTGACGTTAGTGTTCACGACACATCTGCATTTAAGAAGCCGCTATCGTTATGCGACTAATCGATTGGTCAGAGAGAGAAGCAGTGTCACCCGTCTTGCTCCAGGCCATCTCCCTCTCGGCTCGCGCAGGCGCACAGTTGGTTCTCTTTTAAAAGTGGCGGAAAGTAAATAAACTCATACGAAATGTTTGTCGACGGAAACGTAAGGCGGAATGGAAATCGGCTGATAAGCTTTTAAATACGGATCCTAATTAAATATACGAATGAGAAGTTTGTTTGTTCATGTTTGTGTTATTTTTTTTTATTCAAAATTGAATACAATAGAGTCGTTCGTCTTAGAGTTGTAGTTCTAAGAACGTTGTAACGTCACTTGTTGCGCGGTGACTTTGTTCCGGCGATAAGAAGCTACGTTTGCCTTTGCATGCCAGCCTAACACTAGAATAGACACGTAAGAAAATGCAACCATAGTTATTTTAAATTTAAATGTGTCTTATTTTAACTTTAACTAGTTTGAAATGTAATTTTTGTAGGTAAAACTTGATTAAAGACTTTTTACGCATTGTTTTTGCAATTTTATACTTAAATGTACATTTAATCTGGATTAAATACTTTCACAAAACCCTCATTTCGTTTATTTCTTTTTTATTTACATTCCTTTAAAGCCTCGTTTGCTATTGAATTAGTCCTACTAGGTAAACAATGCCTAATCAAGGATTAACGAGTAATGGAACATGATCTTGTTTTTTCCACAGAATAGTTGCTTTAAATCATCTGAAATAATATTTTAGACAAAACTAATAGTTAAAGTTATACAATTACCATTGGCTTTTGAAATAGAATACACCAGATGGCTCGCTAACCAGACACTCTATGAAAGCCAGTAATGGAGCGCGAGGTTTCGTATAATTGTGGGCGTTGGGCTGGCAAACGAGCCAACACAGATTATCTTTTGTAACAAAAACATAGTTAAGAAAAGCCAAATCTTACTTATACATAAGGTAATTTAGTATGTAATTCTTTCTAATAAGAATATGCAAAGACTGAAGAAAATTAAGGAACTAGAACTGTATCCCAGACATATTTTTGTAGGGAGAAAAATAAAAGAACGATTAAGAAATCATTGAACTTTTAGTGAAGGAAGCAGATTGTAGGCGTCCTTTACTTTAAGTTTATTTTCTATTATAACTGATATTTTTATTTGTTAATAATTTAATGGTAAGAATTTGAATAAAAATTAGTTTTATAATAATTCATTTAAAATAAAAGAATAAGCTGTATAAATTACCATTTTTAATTTTCATGCAACTTTAGCGAATTTTAAAAATGTTTCACTAAAATCCTAAGGCCTTATAATTCCTTTTACAACATAAATAATTTTATCTAGAGTTCTAAAATTTTATTACCTATAAAATCCAGTATCAGTAATAAATTTTGCTACCGTTTAACGTGAATTTATTTAAATTACTTACAATAAAACTCAAAAGTCGAGTCGAACCATCGTAGTGGGTATTTGAAAATTAAATCCAGTTATAAAATCAGACGTGTGTACACTCGTGAAATTAATAAAATTCACACATTCGCTTCGTTGGTACAGTCGCGCGTAACTATGATTAAATTAACACAGGAGAGCACCTCGTAACGCTTTTTCGTTTGTCTCCTCAGAGGGGCCGGTACTTCGACTGGCGAACTCTGGCGAGCTCTTAACATTTAGCCGGGAGCTGTATCAAACGACGCGGAAATACCCACTTACTCCCTGATTGCCACACTACGGGGGTTAATGCCATTGCTGATTCGGTAGACCGAATACATTTCATTTTCAACGTTAACGCTTTTTATATTTCATATTTTTCTCTTATTATAAATCACATTTTCAACTTGTAGTACCTACTACAAGTTATAGTAATGTTTTCAAAGCAAAGGAAACAGGAGCTTTAAAGCTTTATGCTGTTTCATTATTTCTATTGTCTAATTTAATACAGATTCATAGATGTCAAATTTCATAAACATATAGACATTTTCCTCATTACTTGTATTATCACTGTTTTAAATTGCAGCTTAATGTTATCTACTACATTTAATGAATAAACAAGTAAAAAAAAGTAACAATATTATTTAAAACTTTAATTAATATTTCCATAGTATGTACACTCGCGGAAATCCGCAGTGTTCTACTTCGGGAAAAATTGCCTTGGTCATTGCAACGAGACAAACTTCGCCTCTTGCTACAAATAACTAATTAGATAGTAGTGAGTGGAGCAAACAAAGTATCACTTTTTTTCGTATAGACATTTATAAGCTGCGTTGTATTTATTATTAAAAGTATATATATTTAGACTTAGAGACTTAAAAGTGGAACACCGCCAGTTTCCCCAACTGTACACGGCTTACCTCAACTAACTTATGTTTCTTGAATTAAACTTCTATCAGTCGTGTACACAATCACAAATTCTGTTGATCTCTTGTTAAAAGCAAGTAAATAGTAAACAATAAAGGCATTCAAACACGACAGGCTATCCGCAAATGATTGTTTACATTGCGACGTAAACTAAACACTACTTAAGCTGACAGCTCATTGTCAAGCAGATGCTTTAAACTTGATTAATTGACGACTTGGGTACGTCTGATTAATACACAAACATCGATCAATTCTAATCCCTTATCATAGTAATTGTGTGATATCTATACGTTTATATTTAACATTAGCTGTTGCTCGCAACTTCACTCGCGTAAAAATAAAAAAAAATAGGCTACGTTATTCACTGATAACATAGCTTTCTAATGGTGAAAGAATTTTTGAAATCGGCCAAGTACTTTTTGAGTTATTTTTATACATAAAAAATATAAAAGTACAAATATTCCTCTTTATAATATTAGCATAGATGTGTGTAATGAAGAATGAAATATTAATCACAATAAGAAATATTTACTTACCATCTTCCGCCTGCGATTCCATACAGTTAAGACAATTATTCAAGTTTTAACTTCCCCGAAATTAACTGGACTGTCGACATCTGCTTGTATAAGATATTTTAATAGAAAGTACATTTTGAAGGGTAACTGTTTTATTATTTTCTTGTTGCTTATATTATAGAGAGTAGTTCCACCTACCGTGTTTTGGGAGCTTATTTAATAAAATATGACAATATAACATGGTCTTAAAATAAATAAACAACGTAAATTTTAATAAGATAAATGTTCGTGTGACAACAGAACAAATCACGCTAATTTAAAAAAATAACTTACAGTGACTGTATTTTTTTAATTCAATAACCAAAATTAATGAAATTACTATACCATGAGCACGACAGAACAGTACAAGAGGCAGGGAGTGGGGGACGATGGCACTAATGAAATGTAGCCAGGGAGCTTCACTGGATAAATGTAGCGAAACAAACGCACACTCCTACAGTTCCCGAACAAAACAACGATAAAGAAACAAAGATTCAGATGTTACTTGACAGATAAAATATTTAATAACAATTTACCTTTTCTTGTTTATTGTAATGGAATGAGATTGGTCTATTGTAAATGAACGATCTTGTTAAAGTAAATGTCAAAGATAAATTAAAAATCATATTATTTTTAGTACAATCTGTAACAAGACTTAATAGTTGTTTACAATGTATTACACTTTTATATCTAGTGACATTCTTTTCTGGGATCATAAATTAATATCATAAATTACTTAAGAACTTCGTAACTTTACTTTAGAGAAGTCACAACATTTATGTATGGAATCGTTCGTATAAACATTTTAGTAATCGTAAAATATCATTAATTAGTTTTAGTATACTTTTAGTAAAAAATACGTAGTGAGAAGTATTTTTAATTAATATTTTTCATGGCACATCTTGTAAATATTCAGATCTACGCACAAGTGGTGTAACATTTTATAAAGTACTTCGCTTGATGACTAGAACGTATTTTGCCAAAGAGGAATCGTGCACACTTGGTGCTACATCCAAAGTTTTCATTGTAACATCTAAACTTATGCAATATGGCGTCTGCTTCTTTAATACTTTCCACAACGCTCGATTACGTTTAACGGCACAATTCAGATGAATTTTCTTATTTACTGTAAGCCGGCAGAAAATCGGGCTGAGCTAAATTCCTAGTTGGAGCGATTTCACACTAGACATGTTTTCTAGAACGAGTTTATTGTCAGCGTGTACATATTTCATTCTGTTTTATAACTTTCTTTGTAAAATAAATCTTGGTTTCGAGCATTACATTTTTGTCGTTATGTCGGTAGAGTTAGTTATAAAATATTGTGCAAGTGTTTATAGCAGTACACATACAAATAAATAAATGTCTGCACATTTGTCCTGTATATGTAGTGTACAGTTGGCTAGATTTTGATGAGTTGTAAATCCTATAAGTTGTTCAAATATATATTTTTTTTGTTGTAAACTATAGAAAAATTAAAACACCGTTTTTTCTTCTTCAAATTACTTTGTGGATAAGGTATTGTGAAAGTGTCGCGTACTGTATGACAGACTGTAATAAATTATCAGCTTTGATTCAATTAATAGGCGCGACCAAAAGCTTTTTCAAGGTTCATAGTGGACATATATTTTTATAAAGAATTGGACATATAATGGAATATAAAAACAAGGAAATACAGATAGAAGTATATTTACGAATGCTTAAATAATGACATAACTCAATCTTAGTCGAATTTTAAAACACATCACCGTGGGTTTCCACCGCCCGTAACATTGGTACAAAAACTTATTGTCGGCTCACAAATTCTTTATTAAAAATGATTAGCTTTAAACTCTATAAAATCCATGATTAGTCTAAGTAATATTAATGTCAAAACACCGAAATAGCAAAAATATTTCGTCATAGATATTCATGTCCATTGAAACGGTTAGTCTTTCGACCCTCCGTAGCTAACAAAAGAAATGTACAACGAACGAAAATTGTGTGAAGTACAAAGGAATGTTGACACGAAATTGGCTTTTGTGTGGTGACCGCGTTAG